ATACAAGTTCGGTTGTCACGTACCTGTGAAGTGTGTCGTGCAGTCGACGAAGTGAAGAGGCGGCCATAGCCGCGGAGCTCTACCACAGAGTAACGAAGGGGGGTGAAAGAGAGGACAGAGGGGAGACCAAAGAGAGTGAAGGAAGCCATAGCCGAGGAGGTGAAGGGAGAGACAAACAGAAAAAAAAAAAAAGAAAAAAGAAAGAGAGAGAAGATACCCGGGGTGAAGAAGGAGGTGAGGTAGGGAGAAGAAAGGAGAAGGGTGGCGACGAAGGAGAAGCTGGCCGCCACAGCCGGAGCTGACCGGAGGAGTTGACCGGGCGTTGACCGGAGTTGACCGGGCGTTGACCGGAGTTGACTGCAGCGTTGACCAAGGCGTTGACCAAGACTGTTGACCATGATTTTGACCAAGCTGGAGCCGGTATAATCTCGCCAAGCCTTCAGCCTATCCCCTCGCCCTATGGATGTGCACACACCCTGTGGTACTTGCTGAGTCAAGTCTGTCTATCTCTTCTTTCTGCATTGAGTCTCTTCTGTCCAGGTGATAGGAACTTTGTGGATGAAGGATAGGGCCTTGTTGACCAAACCCACACGGGCTGAGTAGGGCTAAAGACTGTGTCTGACGACTCGACTGTCCCGGAGGACACGAACCCTCCCAAGGGCCGGTACTGACCGGCGGGCTGCTCGGTGTGGCACGGTAGGCCCAAAATCCGAGTTGTGGGCTGCACAACAGGCCATCTAAGTCTTGAGAGGACCTGCGGATCGCGTCGTCCTGTCTGCGACGTTAAATAATTCCTGAGGAGTTACAGGGGATCTCCTTAAATGCCTACTGATCAGCAACAAGTCCTGTAGTGACAGCCTTAGAGTAGGTGTAGGCTAGAGACCCTAGTTGACAGGATCGTGTCCGGATTCTGTAAGTCCTTAGATTGAGTCAGTAGGTTTGTCAGTCAGGGGGTAGAGTTTAAGTGGTGAGGAGTGGAACCGTTGTCCGGTTGTGCACCCGACACCATGGTTGAGACACGTTCTGGTAAGAGCACTGCCCCACAGTCCGAGGCCGAACAGGCCCGGATCGTCGCCATCCTGAGAGAGAGAAAAGAGAAGAAAGAGCTCCTCAAGCAGGCGAAGTTGAAGGCGATAGCGGAGGAGCAGGTGGCGAAGAAGAAGAAGTTAGAAGAGGAGATGATGAGGTTACAGAAGGAGAAGATGTTGAAGTTACAGCAGGAGGAGAAAGAGAAGAGGAAGGCTGCCAAAGAAGAAGCAGCAGCAGAGGAGGAGGAGGTAGAAGAAGAAGAAGAACCCCTTGAAAGGAGGTGTGGGGGAGATAGAGGAGAGACAAGTGGCACGAAGGGGGAGGACACATGGATGGAGAAGAAAATTAGCGAGTGGGTAGCTAACTTATCGTTGGGCGAAGACGAAGACGCACTGCTCTACGTGCCGCAGGAGGAAAGATAAATGGAGAAGAAAATTAGCGAGTGGGTAACTAACTTATCGTTGGGCGAAGACGAAGAGGCACTGTTGTACGTGCCGCAGGAGGAAAGAGAAGCATTCGCCAGGGTACTGGAAATGATGGAGGACCCCCTGGAACGTCAGACAACAGAAGACGAAAAGAAGTTGGAGTGGAAATTGCATATGATGAGGGAGAAGAAGAGAAGGAGGGAGGAAGCCAACCGAGTGGCTAGAGAGGTGGAAAGAGTCCGGGCATGCAGACAGGAGATGCAGGCACAGGCAGAAACCCCTGCGAAGTTAGATAAGATTATAGGGTATCTGGAGGTCCTGAGTGAGGCCTGGCTTGAGGAGCATCAGGCCAATAAGGGTCAAGATGTGACCCTGCATGCCATCCAGTCGGGCTTTAGAGAGTTTGCGCGCGACGTGGTGACCCACGTCGGGACCGAGGTTAAGAGATTGAAGGAAGGCGTAGACAAGTTCTGCGCAGGCGCCATTGAAAGCGCCAAAGTAGTGGCCATAGCAGAGGCCGCGGCGCGTCCCCGCAAAGAGCCTGTAAAGCTCAAATTCCTTGATGCTTATAGCGGGAGGAAGGACGATAACTTTGATAACTGGGAGGCTAGTATCAATACGTACGTATATCTGCAGCATATCGCCCCCGAGGAGCAAGTCCTCGTAGCCTTCCATGCATTGAAGGACGAAGCGGCCAACTTCGCCAGGTCCCTTGCACGCGCTGCTGATTGCGAGCATAATATGATTGCGTATTCTAGGCTTACCCCTCTTTCCACTTTCCTCCAACATCTGCGTGAGAGGTTCGTTGACGTCACGAGGGGCGTCAGGGCCTCTGACAAGCTTCAAACCATCCACTCGCGACAGTGGAGGAGTGCGCGAGCACTCAAAGCTGTCATGGACGACTTAGTAGCCGTCCCAGACCACGGGGTCACTGAGACCCAGCTGTTCCAGTTGTTTTATCGTGCCATGCCAGAGCCCTTGCGAGGGCATTTCTTTGACAAGACCCAACAGGCCAACATCACGTACGATGCGTTGAGTAGAGAGGTGGTCCTGTTTGAGGCTAAGTCCATGCCAGTTTCCACTTTCTGGCATAAGGACTTAGTCTAAGGGTAAAAAGTGGAAGGGTCGTACCATCTCCGGCCAAGTCAGGGCCAAGGATCATTTGATCCTTACTTTAGATGAAGGCGGTACTGACGAAGTCCCCTACAGTCAGATTGAGTGGGGGCTTGAGGAGGAGGACAGTGGTGTAGGCCAGGGGAGGACCTATGCTGTTGTCGCGGTTGGAGGGAGGCCGCAAAGTAGAGGAGGAGGCCAGGCCAAAGGGGCCAGGCCACGGGAGGTCGAGGACCGGGCGCACAGGGGGTTGGCGATCAAGGGAACCGTCAAGTGGGAGGTAGGGGTTAAGGTCCCCCGCCAAATCATCAAGGTCCCAGTCGGTCCCCGCAGCGAAGAGGTGGAAGGTCACCTCAAAGGCAAGGAGGTTGGCACCCAGGCTGGCCACAAGGCCGACCATGGGAAGATCAAGGTCTGGACCAGAAAGTGTGGCAGCAGCGTATGGAGCAGGGGCAGTGCATTTACTCTGGTGACCCTGCCCATATTATTAAATATTGTCCTAAGTATAGACAGGCCCGATGGGCTGCCCAGGAGTCAAAAGGCAGCTGCCGGTAGGGGTTGCAACTGCCCCTACTATTAGGCCATGTGGGGAAGCGAGCGCGCGCATACAGGAAACTCCCACACCACATGAGCCCTCGGCAAAGGTTGCAGGCCTGTGCCTAGTTAGTTGTCCAAAGACTGCTTGTGTTAGCGTCTCGCTAGGCACTTCCCTCACAGGCGTGGCAAAAGAGTTGAAGGAGAGGATGCCAGCCTGGGCCAAAATGAAGAAAGATAGTAAAGGGCAGCTAGTGTTAGTTGATGTAGAGGTTTTTAGAAGTAGAGTGGGGCCCCTTATAGATTCAGGGGCTACTCGTAGCTATATTAGTCGTAAAGCGCTGACGAAGTGAAGGCTAGGATTGGAAATCCAAAAGTTAGAAGACCCCATAGTTAGTGTACTCGCAGACAACCGTACTATGCATGTTGAGGACTACGTAGAGGGAGTCCAGATGTATTTCCGCCTAGAGAAAGATGGGAAGGTGGAGAAAGTTCTCCATTCCCTGACTCTCCTCGTTCAGGATGACCTTCCTTTCGACATAGTCCTAGGTATGGACTGGGGGGCGGGAGAGGAATTAATTGATACGAGCAAAAAAACACCCAAAGGCTATCAATTAGTGGCGCCTAACGCACGCGCGGTGGACGACGGCGCTAGGCCACGTCACGTCACGGGTTGACATGGGCAGTGGTCAGACCCTTGGCAAAAGGGTTCCACGTAGGACTCCGCGGCCGCCGAGCCCGTGACACGTGGGAAACAACGACGACCAACCCCAACGGTGTCGAAGTGGAGAAAGCCATCGACGAAACCGAAGTGTGTGACAAGGTGTCATAGCAAGAACCATTGAGCGAGACAAGTCAAAGCGACGACGATAGAGAAATGGTCGGGCCGATGGGGGCACCAAACGGAAATGTGAGAATAATGGAGGCGTGCCCCTACTAATTCGAAGCAGTGGTGATAGTGGGCAACGACGACGACCGAACTCAAGGAAGACGAGGTGGAAAGAGCTACAGCGGGCAACGGCGACGACCGATCTCAACGAAGACGAGGTGGAGAGAACTACTGGTGAGACCGGAGGGTGCGATAGGGGGGTCAAAGTGGAGAAAACCTTTGATGGAAAAGTGAGATAGGTCAAAGTGGCAACGATGGAGGAACGGTCAGGCCGAACAAGGAAGACTGGGTGCAGGCATAACGGTGCGACAGAGGCAAGACCTTGCTGATCCGAGGCGGAGATGACAGAGGAGAGAACGAGCCGACGAGCGGAGTCAACCACGAAACACAAATTTGGGACAAGGGGTGGAAGCATGGCGGGAGCATAGCCCTTACAGCCTCGTCACTGGATGGGAGAGAGAGAGAAAGGAGGCGACGGACGGAAAAAAGGGGGAGTATGAGGACAGTATAGGCGACGAGAAGCACCTCGACTGGGGAAAGAGGATCCGATTAGACAGCGATTGTAATCAAGCAATCAAAGGGAGAGAAAAGATAGCACGACAAGACAGGGCAAAGAAGTGCAAGCGGACGTTGGGACAAAACAGATAGGTGGGGGGGGGGGGGGCATGTAGTTAGTTCGATTGGGCTCTCTCTCTCTCTCTCTCTCTCTCTCTCTCTCTCTCTCTC